TACCTGCTGTCTTAACAGCGCGTTTTAGAAAATACCACAAATGGCGCGGTAAACGCCATCTATAGTACGATGCTACATTTTAGGATTACGTATGCTCCAACAAGGTCCATTTAAATATATGAAACGAATTCCGGCGTAGCTAACCTCAACGTGATAGGCACGTTACCATAATCGAATAAAATAATTCGAATTAGTTGTACCTATATTTAAAAAGGGGATAATAGGGACTGCAAAAGTTATAAGAGAATAACACTTTTGAACATCGTAGGTAAAGTCTACGAGAAACTCATAGCAGTGAAATTGAAAAACAAAACAGAAAATCAGCTTACGGGCACTCAGAGTGATTTCCACAGAGGAGTTAGTGTACAGGACCACATATTCACAATAAAATAAATTACCGAAAAGATTGTAGATCAAGACCTAGAAGTATGTGTAGTAAAACCATTTTAAGTCAGGGGAACATTTTAAGTTGTGGAGAAATTACTTTTAGGATCCCGCCGGGTACTGGATAATGACACCGTGTACTCGGTAGTGGGGAGTAATTCTACCGAAGAAAAAAGAAAAAACAAACAGTATCACTCGACTATCCAGTACTGGGCAAAATTACTATTCGATGCATCTCTAGTATAAAGTACCTACATCTTATCAAAAATATTCTGAAGGTGCTCAACACTAGTAAGTGAAGCATTTAGTTACTGAAAAGAGGGAATTTTCTTGAATAATTTCCAAATCACCAATGCTTTTAGCGATACACCAACTTTGATTCCATACTGCAAGGTGTTCAAATTGTCTCGAATTCATTTAAAATGATAGTAGCAAATTAAAGAAACAAAAGGCAGATAACAGCAAAAGCCCCGTTACACATCCTTGTATATGTTTTCAAAAGTTAGATTGTGAAATGCCACTGAAAATGCGTTTTCTACATTTATATCCAGATTACTTTTTGTATATCCGAGATGCAGTTGGTGCCAAACATGGGGAGGTTCCATCATGGTATTCCAAATATGGATAAAGGCATTGTAGAGAAATTGCAGTTCTCCTTAGTCAAATAGGTCCAGTCCATTTCAATTTGTTGGAATTGTGACCTTGAAGAAATCTGCACGAAGATAGAAAGAATACGCACCAGGCGTGAGCAAGACAGAAACAGTTGGAACAAGCTTGAACGAGCAAAGCTCTCGATGGGCGGGCTTAGGAGATCGGCTAGAACTCTACAGTACTAGACGAAAATGTTTAGCAATTTCTTAAAACAAAAATGTATATAAATTAACAATAGAGAACAAAGCAAAAGTTTTATAGGTGTGTAGAACGTTAAGTTAATTCACTTGTTATTATTTTTGGCTAAATATGCTTTTAAATAAAGCATATTCTTAAATTTTAACGAGGCAGTTTAAATAATTTTGCAAATGGTACTGTACAGCACTTTTGTCTAGTTCTCGCTCGATGATCGGTAGAGAAATGAGCTCCGCAGACAAATATGATTGAATTTGGAATTATGCTATGACGCATCCTAATAAAGGGAAGGGGCATATCTCTAACTTCCTGAAACGAACAGTATGTATGTATATTATTATTTAATCCATATTTTGGTATCATTATATCAGTTGTTTTTGTTTTTTTGAGTTAGAAGAAATATTTCTGTCTGTCTTTCAGTCGCTGTCCATTTTACCACGAACGCGTGGAGGTATCAACTGGAAATTAGTATACAATACTCAGGTCTACAATCTCTTTGAGCTGTGGAAAAAAAACAAACTTCTAAGACAATAGAGTTAAATAAATGAATGAACAATATTGATTAAAAATCGTAAATTACTAAAAGAAGCTCCTACTTTCTTTGATAATGTTCTGTTTTACTATGATTTTTCTTTTATTTCAATAACTAATACTTAAAGCATTATGTAAAGTGTTTTCTCCAATAAAATATACAATAGACGGCGATTGTCAATTCGGGCGATTTAATGGGTTTTTGTTAATTACTGTGGTAAATTCGGCCAGAAACGTTTCGTAATCCTCAAAAATAAAATGTAAATTCAGCTGGTTTGTGTCCATGATCATCTCAAGTGCCAAACCCGAATTATCCGAATGTGATTACATACTCTGTTATAATATGAGTAAACAAATAATCAATAACAAGCCCTTGCGGTAAAGGTAGGTGGAAAAGTTAATATTTTAGAATATTTGAAACTAACGTCATATTACTATTGCAAATGTTTTTAAAATATATAAGAAAAATTAGGGAATTTTATTAAAAATGACCACCTGTTAATATATACGTATGATAGTTTTATTACAAAACTTTATCAAAGAAATTGGCAGTTTTGTTTTATTGTGATTTTACGTACTCAATTTTCGATAGATGAACAGAAACTAGACAATTCAGACATTAAGAGAGTATAAAACGAAACGCTACTTAGTACCTTATCAAACACACTGAATTGACGTTCGTAGGAAACAATCTTATAAAAGCGAATCGCCGGCCAAGGCATACTTGATATCCTGATATAAATTGCTATTATAAAAAAGTTTAATTTTCTCAAATCGTTTTAGTCGTACATAGTAACATTCTTATATTGTAAAGGAAATAAAACTATGCGCATGATGAGTTGACAAAAAATATGGCGTTGCTTTTAGATATAACAATTTATTTTGGATGTGGTCGATTTTAATGAATTTGAAAAGAACATGTTTGCGTTAATAGTGGAAATAGTAGGCCATTTTTTCCACAAGCTATGTGTGAAAATAGCACACTTCTGTGTACTTTCGTTTTGGAGATATTGAAAACGGCGCAGACCACTGCAACAGCCTATTTATTGATTTAGTGCAAATTTTATGAAAATTAATGCATTTTGGAGATAATATATGGTTAACAAACGGATATTAAAATTTAACGAGAAATTCAAAAATGCAATAATAAATGGGGTATTCTATCTGAAAAAATAATGTTAGGTTGCCTTCAGGAAAAATGGGACACTCCGTATAATTGAAAATAATTTTAGGATATGAAGATACTTATATGGTACCACTTTTGTAAGAAACTTTTTTTGATATCTTCAACTGTAAAGCAGTTATCGAGGAAACGCGCTTGCGTGGGACACCCTGTATATCTATTAATTTGCAATTTTAGGTTTAAGTGACAAAGTTAACCCAGTTGTTCCTAAAATTTTTTTTATATAAAAGTGTCTTTTTATTGTTAGTGTTTTTCGTGCTAATGAAAGTTGCTATCTTATAAAAACAAGCTTTTAGTAATAAATACTGCTAAAGTAGTACGTCTATAGTTGTTTTCAAATATGTAATATTGATTTCATATTTATAATACAATCAAAATTTAAATAAAATAATGTTTTTCCTGTGGTAGTTAAAGGTTCGCAATAAAAGATATAAAACTGCGAATTTGTTTGTGCTAAATTTTATTATTAGGATAAGTAAAGTTTTATATTTAACTGTTTCAACATGTGTTAAGAGCATTCTGCTTTTTAGATGTTATTCACCATCGTAAGGTTGGAGCATGCCTAAAAAACTTATCTGTTTGTTGCAGTATTGGAATGTGAAAGGACTGCAGGACACTGAATCGGTGTTGCCAAATTTTATTAAATTCACAAAAATAAACCTAGTAAATTAATAAACGTTAGTCGTCGAGCAGATTCTATATTAGAATTTCGTAATATTTTAACTTTTTATTATTATATTTGAGAAGTTTAATCTCAATATATTGTTTTTGATACTTTTATTATTTTTTTATCAATATACATATTAAAAATTGAATTACATTTCCAATAAATGCCCTATAAATAAAAAAGTACCTACCTAACAAATAAGATATAAGATGTAATAAAAAAATAATTTTAAGTACTTAAATGAAATGGATGTAGGTAATTACATATTTTCAGCATACTCAGTCTTTAACTGTTACTAGTATATCAATTTATTTATTTAGAGGCACGATTAAGTACAAGCAAATATATTGTGTATTCCTATAATAAATAATATAGCAACTACAGAATTTCCATTTTTTCCACTTTTTCTTTAACTGTCCCACAGATCCTGACT